TGTGTGTGTGTGTGTGTGTTCTGTGCATGATAATGGCTTAAGGTACACGACAGGGCATTACCTTCAATCCAGCAGCACCAGGACGACCAGGAGGTCCATCGTTACCAGTGTTGCCCTGTGGATTGTAAAGAACAGAGAAGTTTATGTAAAAGTTTAACAGGCTTACTATTTTAAAATGTTATGTGATTTTTTTTTAAAGCAAATATATCACAGAAAATACAGAACACATAGTTATATTATTTTAGCACTCTCTATAAATCATTCATAGATCGGTAGTAGGGGTTACAAGTCTTTACCTCACGTCCAGCCTCTCCCTGGGGTCCGGTCATACCAGGCAGGCCAATGTTGCCAGGGGTTCCACGGGCTCCAGGGGGACCAGCAGGTCCAACTCTACCAGGCTCTCCCTGGGATATGACACAGAGAAAATCAGTGGGTCAAATATAGTCAACCAATAACATGGATGCTGTGTACATTCAGACTTTTGGGGACGAGGGATCTTCCCATTATCAAAAGTGCATGTGGTCTTTCTGAGACATCCTCCAAAATGGAAATTATGGTCTGTCGTCTGGACTAGCACTGTTGTCCATGCATATTTAAAATTTGTTGTCCATGGTTTGAAGTGACCAACACTTTCTGAATGATAATACACATTCAGTGGTTCATCAAACAGGTAATTTTTTTTTCGTGGTATAATCAGAACTAGTTTCTACTTACCACACCACCAACAGCACCAGGTGTACCACGATCTCCTCTAGAACCAGGCAGACCAACGAATCCCTGAAGTCCAAGAGGACCAGAAGTTCCAGGAGTACCAGGAGGACCCTAAAATACATCGTCAGTCACACATTTAAGAGCTGAGGATGCAGTTCTTAAGATCTATATATGCACATCAGCGGTATAAGCATGGATGCCACTAAAGTGTCCTCAAAGTTTCAGTGCACCACAATTTCAAGAGGGCTATAACTTACAGGGGGGCCAGACTCTCCACTGGGTCCCTTCTCTCCAGCAAGACCAGATGGTCCAATCATTCCGGACTCTCCAGAAGGACCAGTGGGACCAGCATCACCACGAGGACCACGAGGTCCATCCTTACCAGAGGGACCAGCGGGGCCAGGGGGTCCAACAATACCCTGAGAGGGGAAGAGAAGGAACGAGGGGTCATGTCAAGTCAGTTTGTATGTTTGAGGTTATTACTAAAATGTAATTTATTAGTAAATGCAAAATCTATACTTACAACAGGACCAGCAGCACCAACTCTGCCGGCAGCACCAGGGAAACCAGTCAGACCCTGACCAGAAACACACACAGTGGTTAAGCAGAGGTCATTCAAAATGTTTGTTGTGTCTACGTTTGTGTGTGTAGATGGGCTGAGAGTTAAGACACGATACACATAGTTTTAGATCTGCACAAATACAAAATTCAATCAGCAGTTCTTCAAATCCATAAGATCCTTTGATGACATTATTTGCTGGTTGTCTAGAAACCTTTCTGAACTGAGCAGAAACTCGTTTTGTTATTTGTTGTTGGTCTAAAATTCAAGATGGAAAATCTGTTAATATTTATCACCGCTTTTTCTCAAACACAGCGAGCAGGTTAGAACCCTGGGCATTATTTTTTTTTACAGTTATCTCAGTTTTGATTGTCATGTTAATAAGGTCACCAGGACTGCTTTCTGCCACCTAAATTGATCAAAAGTTAGAAAATACTTCTCTCAAACTGACTTTGAGGATATGATCCATTCATTCATATCAAACAGGTTAGACTGCTGTAACGCTCTATTTGCAGAACTGTCAGAATTATCAGTAAAACTACTTATATTCGTTCAGAATGCAGCAGCCAGAGCCTTACATGTACACGCAAATGTGAACATAACACCCTAATACTGAAGTCACTTTATTGGTTTCCAGTTTAACATGAAATTACCGTTAAAATCTATGAGTTTATAAAGCTCTTTGGTTTGGTCCTCCAACACATCTTTGACTTGTTTAGTGTCTATAAACCACCTCTCAGGTAATCTTTTAACTGGTCCCAGAATGAGATATAAATGAGTGCCGAGGTTGCTTTCAGTTAATGTGATGCTCTTCAAAAACAACCTGACCCCTGACCTGAGGTCAGTTACACCTGTGCCTACATTCAAAAATGGACTAAAAACCTCTTACAGGCTTACACTTACACTGTATGAGTGTGTATGCTTGTGCGTGTGTGCATGCTAACTTATATTATATGTCTTTGTAGAATTAGTTTTATTGTTTTTATTTCCTTAAGTCATTCCAAAGATAAAAGGATTTTTTGTGTTTTTATCTTTAATGTCAAGCAGATTGATTTTACATGTAGCGAATAGCGAAATGTGCTGTATGAATAAAATTGCCTTTGGTGTTACCATTAAGATATATTTGAGTGATTTAGAGGAAACACTGGAAAAATGAACAGATCAAAAGCTGACAAAGTCTGCTAAGTTAAAACAGTGATACTGTGCGGTTATGTGCATAAATTTACACAAATGCACACAATATTGACTCACTAGTACAAACTAGTTCCTATTTGGGCTTATATTAAAAAATATAAACATTTTAAAAAAGGGCAGTACAAGAAATAACTGATAAGTGGCTTAATCTCATGTTTTAATGTTGCCTTTTTTTAAAGTTCCTAACAGCTTTGATTGGAACTCCTACTCACTGCATGCTATGGTTGCTTTTAAGCCCACGGAGTTAATGAGTGCATTCATGAGAGTGTCGTGTGTGGCTGGTAAAGCTGTTTATTTGTATGTTTGAATACTCACAGAAGGTCCATTGTCTCCACGAGCACCAGGAGGTCCACCAGGGCCAGCAGGACCCTAGATACCGGAAGAAGAAATCAAAGTCAGTGTCATATCAAGACTGCTCCCCTCTAATCTATAAACATAAACAGTATTTTGAAATAGCTGTTGATTTTATCCCACTGTGAACACTCTCATAGATGCCGGGTAATGCTAAATCAGTGAAATCATGTTAGATCTCTCTCAATTTGTTTAGCTTTGCTGGATGCGTGTTTGTGTGTGTGTATATGTCCAGTGAAAGTGGTACTTACAGCAGGTCCAGACTGTCCAGCAGGTCCAGCGAGGCCAGAGGGGCCAACTTCTCCCTTTCCTCCTGAAGGTCCACGCTCTCCTCTTGCTCCAGGTTGACCATCAGCACCCTGTAGCAAGCGTGGTTGTGGTATGTAAGTATTTGCTCATCTTTATCTATTGAACATGACATGGGGAATGGGGTACTGAATTTCAAAATGGGCTTACAGGGGGGCCAGCGAATCCAGGACCTCCAGCGGGTCCAACCTCTCCACGTTCGCCCTGTGGACAACAAGCAGTGGGGTCAAAAAGACTGTTCAAACTAAAAGATGGAAGCTTGTGTTTTGCCAGGTTCTGCTATGAGATATTTAAACGCAAATGTAAGCTAGTGGAACAAGGAGTGATCAGCAGCTACTCACAGAGGGTCCACGAGGTCCAGCTGGGCCGGCAGGTCCGAAGGAACCACCCTCACCCTGGAGGAGAGAACAGGAAACATTTTATTAGCTTACAATTGTTCCAAGCATCCACTGACTTGTCACGCTCCCTTATGTAGGAATATACTTCAATATGCCATATATTATAAGAATGCTCTAAATAGTCAGCATTTTCCTTCTTAAAGAATTTTGTTATTGTACTCTTGGCTCTGTTGGTTGTGTTTATAGAGCAACATACAGAAACACTCAGGAAAACAAATTTTAAAAATACTTGCAAATTCCTACATTTTGATTTAAATAAATATTTAAATGCCAGTAATAAATATGAATACTTGTTTTCTGCATTATTTTTAGGTTAACCACTGTCATCTTACATTTCATTGCAGGTTACTCATTGCTGTTATTTTGCATAATAGCCACTAGATGGCGGTGTTGAGGTTCTAGCTTTAGTCATAACAGTGTTTCGGCTATTTAAAATTTCTGTTTTAGAGGGGTGGGACGTCCCACATAAAGGTCCTGAGCAATAAAATTATGAAAGTGGTGTGAACGTCTGCAAATGGCTTTTTATTTAAGGTAACTGGTCCTACAGTGGATGAGTTATGTTCACTACTTTTGCTGGCATTCATTTTTTAAATACCGTAAAAATGAATTAAATATTAAAAAACCCCAATCAAACAAAGTTTGTTTGCATTATAGAATCTATATAATCTAAAAACATTACATTTGGTGGTTTCTTTCTATTATTTATTTAATGGCAACTATTTTATCAACTTACCTTATCACCGTTGGCTCCAGTGGGTCCTGGAGGTCCAGCAGGTCCTTGCAGACCCTAGATTAAGTGAGGAGAGCACACTGAGATCAGGGTTATGACTGACACACTCAAATTGAGGAAATAAATGTGTAAAGTTTTTACATTAAGCATACTAACAAAGACGGGAGAGTTTTACTTACACGGGGACCATCTCTGCCAGGATTGCCGTCAGGGCCTTTGTGTCCAGGCTCTCCCTTGGGAGAGGGGAAGAGGGTGTAAGACGCACAACAGCAAAGAAACAATACTCCCTCATTTACACCCATTTTATTTGCTGGTGGCAGATTTCTAGAACTTACCTTCTCTCCCTTGGGTCCAGGAGTACCAGCACCTCCACGCTCTCCGGGCATGCCACCGGCTCCCTGATGTCCAGGTGCACCAGCAGCTCCAGCAGGACCAGGCTCTCCCTGGAAACAAAGAGGATAAACTTGGGTTCATATTTGAACAACATAAATATTGATGTTTTCAATTTTCCAGCTATATACAGATTTTATTATCACATAATTCTTAATTTTTAAAGTTTCTCAGAGCTATCACTGCATAAACAGTGAGATTTTGATCAGTAAGCAGTGCTGGAAATTGCTGTGAAAGTGCATTTTAAAGACCATTCCGTGACAGGCCAGAGAACGTCCATGAACTGTCAGGTTTCATGACATATGTTCAGAAGCTCCATCAATTTCTGTAAAAATAGAACTGTCTTACCTTGCCACCATCAGCTCCAGGGGTTCCAGCAGGTCCACGGGCTCCAATTGGTCCCTGAGGTCCAGTAGATCCAGCAGCACCAGGGTTACCACGCTCTCCCTGGAGAAACAGACATGCATATTTTAATTTCTCTATATTTGATTCTGAGTATGTTTTTATAGCAATAGATTTAAAGGTATGAAAAGCCTACAACATATTAAAGGCTCTTGATTCATTTAGTGCACATAGACCTGGACACATATGCACTTTTGACAGGCTTTGCTACTGTGTAAAAATCCTATATTGCTGCATTTGTTTTGGAAAACAATGTCACTGACAGGTGATCTCACCTTGCCACCAGCAGCTCCAGCAGGTCCTGGCTCTCCTGGGATACCCTACAGAGGCATTTTTGTTTGGTTAGACGTGGACTTAAATTTTCAATAATGCTGCTTTTACAGTTTTCCAAATACTTACTCTGTCTCCAGGCTTGCCAGCCTCACCAGCAGTTCCAGCGGGTCCAGGCAGACCCTGAAAATATCAAGACTCTACATCAGCTGCAATTGTATCAAAAGTTTTAGCAATCGGCTTAAAATGGCTGTAAAATCATGCACCATTTTTCTATATTTAGAGAAAATTATGGATCCAAACCTGGAAGCCAGGAGCACCAGAAGGTCCCTGCTCTCCCTTCTCACCAGGTCCTCCCTGTAGAGAGAAAGAGACAAGTTATCAGAGTCGAAGACAAAGACGATGCAGTGGCTATTATTCATCAAGATCTACTCATGCGCTGCACATAAGATCACGCACAGCAGGTCCAGTAGCACCAGTGGCTCCATTGTTGCCATCAGGTCCAGGGGGTCCCTAGACACAAGGATAAAGAGAGTGATGCCTTTTAACTACTGAAGCCATTACCAAATTAAATTCAAGTTTTCTATATTATAACATTTGTGACTTACTCTCAGTCCAGTGGGGCCAGTGGCTCCCCTCTCTCCAGGCTTGCCAGGCTCACCCTAAAACAAAAAGCAGTTAGTAAGTTAATAAGTACAGATTTAGGTTAACTTGAAAAACAGAGAAGGATATAGTTCCATGTTTAATTCTTGAAAAGAAAAAGGCTTACAGAAGGTCCTTTGGGTCCAGGGAAACCAATGTTTCCGGACAGGCCTCTAGGTCCACTTGGGCCTGGAGGTCCACTGCGGCCATCTTGTCCAGAAGGACCCTGGAGCGACAAACAAAGATTGCAGCAGGAAATTATATTTACTGTAAAAAAAAAACAGTAGGAACAATAGATGAAATAAAACTGAGGTTTACTTACAGAAGGTCCCTCCTTTCCTGGGGGTCCAGAGCTTCCAGGGCTTCCTGGGAGACCCTGTGGAAAATAATAGCTGCCATGAATTTTCCATTAAAGTTTTCTTATGGAAATTTGCATAGAAAGTTCAGACTTTGCAACTACAACTTGATTAGGCAGGCAGGCATGATACTCTGAGTCTACACATTATGAGGTTTTTATAATCTTGTAAGGTGAAGCCCTGTGTTTTTCTTTTCTTTTAATCATGGACGTTTGTAAGTAAATTCTCAGTGAATATCCAGGGTTTTCATGTAAATCTAACACTTAATAATTTCTTACAAAATTAAGACTTGAAATGAAGACTTTCACTTTAGAAATTCAGAGTTTTTTCCATCTCCATATTAGCTCCATATTTTTTTTAAAACTACAACTGCCAAATATGCACTTGCACTTTGAGGTGTCTCTGTAACTTACTGAAACTGTGAATTATAACCATCCAAGAACAGGATTTAGTAAAAAGCTCACCCTGAGACCAGCTGGGCCAGGCTCACCAGCACGGCCAGCATCTCCAGGGGGTCCACGAGGTCCAGCAGCACCAGAAGCACCACGGGCACCAGGCATACCCTATGAAAAGGGCAGATGAGACAAATTATGAGACTTAATGTTGCCTGTATTTCAAGCAAAAAAGAGTTTTTTTAATCGTTGAATACTTACAACAGGGCCAGTTCTTCCCTCACCACCAGGCATGCCACGGCTGCCAGGAGCACCCTAAAGGAGACAAATGAGAATTAATGGCTGATCCCAGTAAAATGTCTCCGGCTGTAGTACATTTATGGCTCAAACTATTAAAGATGACGGGCTGGGACTCACTCTAGCTCCACGGGCACCAGCAAGCCCAGTAGCACCGAGCTCACCAGTGGGTCCTCTCTTGCCCTCCTCACCCTGAGGTCCGGGGGCTCCCTGAGGTCCAGAGTTACCCTGAGGGAAACAACATAGCAAAACGGTCATTAAATGTGCAACAGAGAGGTTTTCAGATTTATTTGGATCAAATTCTAAATTATTATAAGGACATAAACTTACAGGTTCTCCTTTGGGACCAGTATCTCCCTTTATACCCTGAACACCAGGATCTCCCTAAAATAGACAGATAAACAGACACAGTTAATCAGAAGAGCAATCATCTGTGAACAATTATGACAGTACTGGGGGGTAAGGACAGAGAATGTTTCCAGGTGGCTATTTTGTTTCTTATGTACTCACACCCAGGCCTCTAGGTCCAGCAGCACCCTGAGGTCCCTGTGGTCCGGGTCCTCCTCTTGGTCCAGGGAAGCCAGGAGCTCCGGCAACACCAGGGGTGCCCTAAACAACAGGTATGGTCAACAGGTCAGCATAGCATCCTATTATATCAAACCATATCAAAATAAAGATAGCTTGGTGCGACTCTGGAAATTTGTATGCACTTTTGTCTCAAGTCAAATACTTACAGCAGCTCCCTTAGCTCCATTCAGGCCATTAGCACCAGGGTTACCCTGGAGAGAAAGACCAAGAAAACAAAGTCAAGTCATTTTATTTAAAGAAAACACATTTTCAACTGATCATGTTAACATGACACCAATCTTCCCTAAAATCATGACTAAATTATAGGACTCAGAGTCAACTAAAAGACTAATAACAGAAACAGTGTTACACATGACCGGAGAGTGACCTTGATGGAAACAACCTTGTATACTTACAGAGGGACCAACGGGGCCAACAGCACCATTGGGTCCGGGCTCGCCTCTAGATCCCTGAGGTCCAGATGGGCCAGTAGCTCCCACGGGTCCGGTCTCTCCCTGTCAGCAGCACAAATACATCCACAATCAAACAGTGTGCCGATATTACCTAGTGGTTGTTGGTTTTATAGTTAAAGCAGCTTAAGCAGCATTAAGTATTTGTTTTGGTTTGCAGTACTAACAGTCAAAATTCCCCTGGGTGATACTATATAAGAATATGTGATTGGGCAGGAGCTTGCAGGCACTGGTTGTACTTGTCCAATACAGCAATAAAAACTGCCTTTTTTCACCCTAATCATGAACCTCTCTGAGAGGCAACAGGAAGTGGCATCACACTCACCTTGGGGCCGGGGCCACCGGGAAATCCTGGGGGTCCAGCAGCACCGAGGGGTCCCTGAATAAAGGAAAAGCAGGAACACATAATAAAGTCCAAAATTTAAGAATGAACCTTTTCTGACTTGGCAGGATGGCACATTACAGTATTCATCGTGATTTATATATGAAGACAGGCTGAAGTCCAATCAGGAAAAAGCATCTCAGTGGTATCTTCTCTCTCTAACACCGATAAAGGGGTTATAAGTGTGTGTGTACTCACAGCAGGGCCAGTAGGTCCAACATTGCCATCAGCACCACGAGAACCAGCAGGGCCAGCAGGGCCGGGGCGGCCTCTCTCACCAGGAAGACCACGAGCTCCCTGAAGGCAAGACAGTTACCTACAATTATCACCTGTACAGGTTTTAATACCACAGCATCATTATCATCCCATGAACATGATGCTGACTGACGCAAACAGTCACAAACATCCAAGTCAGATGTCTTTACTAAAATTTTTGTGCATGAAAGGTGAATCTCAAACTCACAGCCAGTCCAGGGCTTCCAGCAGCTCCATGAGCACCAGGCTCGCCCTATGGGAGGGAAAATGGTACGATGAGGAATGTGTCTAAACATTTTCAAATTTATCACTAATAATTAACTGGGAACTATTAAGAATTACAGTTTTTATTTTTTGATACATTCATAGAGCAGCTAGTTGTCGCCTTACCTTGGGGCCAGCACCACCGGGCTCTCCCTTGCGTCCATCCAGGCCAGTGTATCCCTGAAACACAGGAGCACAGTGATGAAGGCAGGTGAAGATATGAGAAATGTGATACAAATATAAATAAATATAGCCGTTTAGATCAACATGTGAGAAGGATAATAGATTCAAATTGTAGTGCACTGCCCCAGAGATAAAACAGAACAAGGAAAAGAGTCCAACAGGGGTTATATTATAGGAGACATTAAAAAAGTCTTAAAAAAGCTATTTATAAAATCAAACATGGGTTATGGAAAGCTTTGCATCTGTCTCCATCCATCATAGGAAGGAAATGTTCAATACCTAACACCTTTCCGTGAACCACTTTTGCAATCCAGTTATGTTAACAGGCTAAGAACTTCAAGGCATCCATTAGGAATTCAGGAGGTTAGGTCCATAATCACTCCCTGTGGAGGTAATTACAATGCAATTTCTAAGGAGCACAGGTGTGTCTCCACCTCCACTTTCTTCTTTTTAGCACTTTGTTTGAGCTCTCAGGTGTCCACAAAGGATCGGGTAAAGTTAAAGCAGAGGGAAAAAAAATCAGCACTCACTCTGTGTCCCTTCATTCCTGGAAGTCCAGGGGTTCCAGGGAATCCACGAGCACCCTGCAAATCAAACACAAAGAACATATTAAGTACTTCACATCTGCAAATCCATTTCTTGCTTATATCTATTTGTGGTTATCGTGGTGCAAATCTCTTACCTGAGGGCCGGGGACACCTCTGTCTCCGGGCTTGCCAGGTCTGCCATTGTTACCCTGTGAATCAGTGAAATAGACTTTAGGCCACAACAAAGAACTACCGCAGCCACTCGCAAAATATTCACAGAAGAGTGGCAACAAAAATGATTTTGCATTTTGAACAGCAGTTACACTAATGTGTACGTACATCTTCTCCAGCTTTGCCAGGAGGTCCAGGAGGGCCACGAGGACCAACAGCGCCCTGGGAAAGAAAACCAGAGGATTAAGATCTCCAGGATGAACTTTTAAGTCGACGTTGAAAGAAGTGTAAATGTTTAGGAGGATGATCTTACGGCCTGTCCGGGCTCTCCAGGCTCACCAGCGTGTCCTGTGTGTCCCTGAGGTCCCTGTTGAATGAGAGGAGATGCAGCATTTAGTCATAAAAATCTTTAAAAAGACAGTTGTATAGGTTTAATTTTCGCACATATTTATACTTACAGAAGCTCCAGGAGGTCCGGGAGGGCCTCTTGGTCCCATCAAACCCTGAAAAGAAGAAAAGAAGTAAACAATCAATCATCAGCTCTCAGTTAGACTGTCATTAAAACATTTTGTGGTGACTGAAATCAAAATTTAAACACGTGAAATACACGAAACTTTCCATGCACTGTAGTCATCCCAAATTATATATGTAAAAATATTAGTTTTTGTGACATATGGGCTAGTGTTGTTGTGTGGCAATGAAGAGAGGGGTCCTCACCATGGGTCCAGGGCCAGGATCAGGGCCTTTTACACCATCGTACTGAGCAGCAAAGTTCTGTTGAACAGAAGAAAGCACAGATTAATACTTATGTATGCATAATAAACACTTTTCTATAGCTAAAGGGCATTAAGACTAAAGTAATTTAGATTTCTAGTTCTAGTAGTTCCTGTAGTTCAAACTTGTCTCACAATCAGCAGCCACAGACTACTGCAAACATGCGCTTTATTCACCTGAAGAGTTTCTTAAAACACTAAAGTTACCACCGAGCAGCTTTATGGATTAAACACAGACAAAATGAGCAAAATGAGTGGTAACCAGGCATGTGGTATCTCTTTTTTTTAAAATGCTTTGATCCAAAATGGATAAATGACAAAAAGGTCAAAGATTACAGGGTTAATTAAGGAGACAGAGAGGGGCAACCAGAGGTAAAAAAAAATAAAAGAAGCTATACGCTTTTTACGGCTGGTTTCATGTTTGTTTCCTATGAACGGCTTGTCATTTTTCCTCAAAGATGCTTTATCAGCATTATTTAGAGCACATTTGCAGTAAACACCATCTACGCAGGCTGTTTATTCTCTACTTACTCCTCCAAGTCCAGGGGGACCAGGGGGGCCAGCGGGGCCAGGAAGTCCGGGTAAACCATCTTTTCCATTTGGGCCGGGAGGACCCTGTAAAACAGAGATGACATGAGTTGGTAAACACTGTTATTATTGAACGATGAGCTGCTGAGATTTAAGGAGGCGACGCTTGTCTGTTTTTATCTCGCAAGCTCTTATTTTGAAAAAAATGAAGGTGTTTTAAATTGTAAAAATAAATCAGTGAATAAGTCTGCCACACTGTCGTATCAAAGATATCAGAGGCATTCTCATATGTTACAATTAAGAAAAATAGTGCAATTGGAAATGTAAACAAAGGGGTGTGGCCTGCCAAGGTTAACAGGTCAGGTGACGCTGACAAAAACGTTGCCAAAGATGCCTCATGAGTGTAAATGATCAAATACTTCAGTGGCATGTTAGCGTGTTTATCACAGAGAGAGCAGTTTTGCATCTGCTTACCCGGTCACCTCGAGGTCCTTTCGCTCCTCTTGGACCCTGCGGCACAAAAGTCATTCAGTCAGACCAAAAATATGGAGCAGATGGCCTCAGTTTGTTACTTCAACAGCATTTCATTTCAAAACTATCCCCACACTAAAGCGGGCCACCGCTTCTGATCTGAAAACCAGATGCATGCAACCTGGACTTAAACTGTAATTTAAAACAATCTGGGATTTCTTGTATCCTCAGAGGCTAAGCAAGTCAAGAAAAATAAAGGGAAACAAAAGAAAACAGAAAAACTGAGTGATTGAACCAGTCATCATGAAGGTGGCATTTGAACTTTCCTAATATAAACTATGCTTCATGCATCTTAGACACAATTCAAACAAGCCAGAGGTCCAACATTATGCATTATTGCCTCGGTTAAGATAAATAGAAGATCTTTTCAGTCTTTTCAGGGTTCCATGCAACAATTTAATGAGCTGGCAATCCCATTCATTCAGATTATTGCCTTCTATTCTTGTGTGTGCATTGTTCTAAAATAATGCAGCGTGCAGACGTGCAGTCACAGTGACATGTGAATCACGCTCGTGCAGATAAACTAATGTGAGAACCCAGGAGGACAATGTGCATGTGGTCAACATGCGCACATCAGAGATGCTGAGAGGCAACAAAATGAAGCATCCAAAACCAAACTGGACAATCACTCAGGAGTATGAGCATGTTAGTCCATGGAACAGCTATCAAGTTACCGCAACCACACCACGCACAGTGTGCCTGGACGTGGTGAAGCTGTAAACACCAAAAGCAGTGGGTGCTTAGTTTCAGGCAATCTCAGCTATGAGCAGAAGAATTCCCAAATTCAATCTTAAATCAGGATCAGAGGGAGACTCCAAACGGAGCCAAAGCCAGCTGTTATAGGGGCAAACCTCCCTCTCTGGTTCCTCACTGCTGTCCTCAGAAAAGGTCCTTTGTACCAGGCCCCATGGGTGCCTCAGCCCTGTGGTTTTAGCTTTCATTGACACAAACTTAAGCCAATAGGACCCTCACCTATTCATGGACAGGAAGGGAGAAAACTGCAAGAAATAACTCAGCTCAGGGTCTGAAATTCCTAACGGCACTCCTCTGCTATAGTTCAGATTGCTTGAATCGTTAAAAGACGACAGAGACCTTCATTCACGGGCGTTTCAGAGATTGTGGAAGAAAAACGGAAAAAACTTTAAGGTATGTTGTTTTCATGGTAGCATGCAGGTGTACTAACCGCAACTGTGGCATTGTAGAGATGAGGATGAGGAGGGAGAGGCAGAAGAGAGGGGCAGGGAGAGAAAAAGGGAATACGCCGTTAGAACATAATAATAATTTTAGGGCAAAACCTGAAAAAGAAACAAAGCAGTTTTCATCTTCTACTTAATGCTTCATGGTTGAATCTGCCTAAGATCTTCATATTAAAATGCTGAGTGTGTTATTTCAGGTTTAAAATATTCTGGAGACTGTGTTCAAGTCAGTACATTCAAAACTAGAAAAAGTGACTTTTCAAACAGTGCTTTTCTTTTTCGTTCACTGTGTCACACAGTCGGGGGCTTTTTACACTACGCTGATCGGGTGTGTCTGTAAATGCTGAGCAGAAGCTTCTGTGCAGGCCTAAAATAAGCATCCTTCCTGCATGTTTTACTCGCTGCATAACATGTCTCAGCCTCTCTTAAAAGTGTAGCTGAGGGCCATGCCTGCACAGTTTGTGAATCACAGCAAACTTCGTCAAACTGTCGGTAATGAATGTGAATGTCATTGTTGGAGCATTCCACATGTTCGCGCTCCAGCTGCGAGCAAGCCTGGACAGGCCGCTTATGCCCTAGGGAAATGAATAGTTGGCCTGCTACAACATAGAAGACAAGACCTACATGATTTGTGATAAGAATGTATTAATTACTCCTGTCTTACTGCTTTTGCTGCAAAAATATTATAATGTGTGATTTTTCTCTGTTTCTTTAAAGGGTTGTTTAAAAACTGGTGACTTCATTCTTTAATGGTGCCTTGTGTTTTGCGTCTCTCTTCTGCACTGTGTTGCAGCTGCTCTCCACGACTCTGGACCAGCTGGTCACGGTTAGAGGTTGGCACAGCTGGGACCTCCCCGTGAACTCTAACACGTTATATCCTATCTGGACCACGAGGTGGCGCACTTGGCGGTTGAAAAGGGATGTGAGACTATTTATTTGTCCATTTCATGTAATATAATATTGCCAAATTTGTCATGATGTGTTACCTGTATAATCATCTTTTAATCTATAAAACCGCTGTATGTTAAATGTATGCTGAACTATACTGCCATTAACTGCAAGGTAGGCTGTTCAAAAAGTACTTTAAGAATCTAAATGTAATTATAAGAGAAAACGTGTCATCGTTTAGTGTCATTTCTGCTTTAGTTTTATAAATGGGGGTTGGAGATAACGCAGATGGTGGCGAGTAGATGTTTGCACCCATGACCACCAGGGGGAGACATTAGAGTTTCCTATAATAAAGCTCATTCCCTGGACGTCTGGATGGAACAATGTGTACAACGCCCCAACAAAAGCTTTTCATCCTATTCCTGAAAGAAAACCTACATTTCGACTCATTTCATTAACTTCACATGCATTACAACTAAAAAAAAAACCCCTCTAGACGTTCCTCTTTTAAAGGAACAAAATTTTCTTTTCTCTCTCTCTCTCTCTTTCCCTTTACGGAAACTAATCAAATCATGATAACTGGGTCCTTGGAAAAAGTGAAGAATCCTCTGCATGAGCTCAATCCGTTGAGTTTTATTCAGCAGGGCTTAAAGCTGTCTTCGGCTTGACCTCGATGTAAGTCCCAAACAAAAGCCAAGATCCTCAAGAAAAAAAAATATCCATCACAGAAGAAAAAAGAGCAGATATTCAAACTTACATTGACATGATGCTAGGTATGAAGTTACTGCAAGCAGCAACAGAATCCGGGTATCCACAAAGCTGAGCATGTCTAAGCAGACATGCAGACTCCTTGTGCTGCTGAGCCCCTGTTTTTAAACCACTTTCAGGCAGACATACAGTTGTGGTGACACGAGTAACTCCAAACTTAGCAGAAACCTGCTGCCGTGATGCTAGAATAATAAAGTCCCATCAGGCTTATTTATACGACAGGAGGGTCCCTGGTCTGCGTGTCAAAAGTCAGCCCACCGGCCAATGAGAGAAGAGAAACCCAATCTAACTTCCATCCCTCCGCAGCTCAGACTTAGTCATGTGGTGCTACATCTCCCTGCCTCCTCTCCACCAGAACCCGTTTGGCAACGCTTTGGCGATGATGACGAGTGCAACGTTTTAATTAGATCCATTCTTTTTGAGGACGTGGACAGCGTCGAGGTTTAAAAGGGAGATGAAGGCCTACTTTTTTCCTCTTTTTTTACGGGCTGCAGGGAATCCGTGCTGTCTCTGCGCTAAGAGGTGCGGGCGCAGGAGATTCAACTTGAGATTTCTGTGCGTAAATTATGGGCACATTTCAGGGGCGCGTTGGCGGGCATCATTTGGCACCAACTAGATCAGAGTCCTTCGTTTCTGCGCTGCATTCTACAGAAACAAACTTAACTTAGAGAGAGAGGGTTTTGTGTTATCTTTTCATGTTGGAGTTTAAATGGCTCTTATTTGCCTCTTTATACTCACCGATTTATCGAGAAATTGTTGTATGATACCTTCATTTTACATTGTTTTCACTTTTCCTTTTTTTTCTTGTGTTGTTTCCATCTACCAAGCTGTCACACTACCCAAAAAAAGAAAAGTTTGCATCATGATTCATTTTTGCACACCCACCAAGCATTTCAACTTCAAATTTCCATTGCCTTTCAAAGTAAAACTGACAAAAAAAATCCATTTTCTTCTCAGAGTTTTCATAATAAACCAAAAGCATTCACTCAGCGAAAGCCTGTCAGTGGCAGGCTTCACATATAATGCAAACACACTACTCTGCAGCTTCAGGCTGACAAAAGACAGGTGTGTGGAGGAGGAGGAGAACGCTAGTTTCAATCCCTCTTTCCCTTTCTCCCTCTCTGAGCAGCTCTTACCTGCCCACATGACCAGACATGTCATCTACTCTACTGCCACTCCAACAACACTCAGCGTGGCCCTCACACTGCCTCATGCCACACATTCACTGTCCATTTGATTAAGCAAAGTGCACAACACTTTATCCTATGGCCAAAAGCAATCATGAAATGCAGGTTTAAACAAGTTCACAATTCACAGACCAGTAGGTGGATGAAGGGTATCTTTGTTATGTTAGACATGATTAGATATGAGCTTTATGATAGAGTTTTATACCTGTACTCCATTCTCTCTGTCTGTGATTTAAAATGCTTGTTTGGTCATTCAGTGCAATACTAAGAAGGCACCAGATTACATCCTGGTACAGTTCTGTTAGAGTGCACTCCTCTGGCCTCTTCCTTTCCTTTTCTCCGACGTGTTATCCGTATTCCCCTTGTGCAGCAGATATGTGTGTGTGTGTGTTTTTTTAAAAGTAACTGTTGGACACTCCCGACAACCTCACCTTAACTCTTTATTTATCCAATTTACACTGCAGAGACAGAAAGACAGCAAAGAAGAAGAAGAGGTGGGGCAGTAGAGAGACAGAGGGAGAAAGAGAGATCAAATATGTTTTAAAGATGGCAGGGCTCCCACTCACTGCAGAGTTACGTTCTCATGTTTGCTGAGGATCCCAAGTAGCTGGAGAGGAGCAGACAGTCTGCGTAGGAAATCAAAGATGGCTCCCAAGCTCCACATCATCAGCCTTTTTTCTCTCTGTACAGCCATGCTCCAAGAGAAACAGCTGATCATATTTGCAGCCCACTCCTGCAAATATATGCATTGTATTTGCTTTCAAAATATCATTTTTTGGATTTTTTTATAAAAATGAAAGAAAAAGAAAATCTTTGTGAGGGTCACGGGCAGGGCAGCATGTACATTATGCAGTGGTAACTAGCTGAGAGAACACTTTTCAAGTAAAATGAAGCCTATTTGAGCAAAAATGCCTTTGTAGCAAAATTTGAATGTGAATTGAACTCAAGCCAGATTTGATGTATTCCTCTTGGAGATGTGTAAAAAAAAGAAAAAATCTTCAGCCATTTTGAATCTTCTGCTTCTCTTCTGTCTCCTACAGTGCTGCCAGCCGGGCCTGCAGACAGACTTCTCCAGCTGTGCCTCACTCTGATTGGCTGTTTCAGTAGTTTCCTCACTGGGTTTGGTCAGTGTGTGTCATATTTCACTCCTGATGTAAGTGTAAGTACATTTTGTCATGTCAGGGTTGGCTGCCTACCTGTCAGCCAGCGGATAAGGAAAACTGCACAAGATCAATGAGATTAGTGCAAAGATTTGCTATCTTGTGCATCAAGATTGAACTATTGCATTCCTAATTGCAGAACACCAGATTATAGAGACCACCTGATAACACTTGGAGACGAAAAATGAAAGATATTCATGTAAACCTTAGAAAAGTTTTGAGCAGGATGGTTGTTATATAAAAATATCCCACACTAAATCTGAGAGGGATTTCAGCATTAGTCTACAAAACTGAAACACCATGACAGTAGATTAGAGTCAAAGGACAGGATTTTTATTAAATATGACAACAACAAGACTTTAAAGGAGCGATGTGTAGTGCCACAGAAATAAAATATTAACACAGGAACCTATGCAGAAACTCATGCTAATGCTCGACTGCTGCGAAAGGACGTTTCTTATACAATTACAATGAAATCTAGCGATTGTGCACGCCGCAACACATGATTCATGGGGAGATGATCAAACAGGGACCTTCCAGATCTAAATAGAAATCTAATACTTTTGTGGGTGGCTCTAGAAGAAGGTCTAGCATCATCATAGGTTGTTGGTTTGCTCCAGTCTGCAGGTCAAAGTACTCAAGATACTGAATCCCAAGCTGCAAGCAAAACAGCACCAGAGTTAATGTGGCTAACAGCAAACAAAGCTTCACATTTATTATATTTTATAAATGAATAAAGAAAACACTTGAAATGTTTACCATTTGTTCCAGAAGAGAGTTTTATATAAACAAAAGCATTTTTAAAAAAAACGAATAAATCTTTTACCCACATTGCAAAGCTATGACTTCACAACAACATCACTGGTCAGCTGAAATGTTGATCCTGGACTAACATTATTAAGATAATGCAGTAAGAACACCAACATGAGATATGAGATCGTGTCACACGCAGTCAGTTGGAATTCTCAGCTAACTGCATGTGTTCGGACTGCAGGAAGAACCCGGAGCAAACTCCACGCAGAGATGCGCCGTCCAGGATTCAAACGTGGGACCGACTTGCTGTGAGGAGACAGGGGTAACCACTGCACTACCATGCCACCCTATTCTGTGAAATGAAAAGACTGTCATTGGCATGTTGCCCACACACTCAGACACCAGCAGGAAGTTTAGCAACGGTGCAGAGAAAAAGAGAGAGTCGGTAATTAAAGAGGAGCGGCAGACACACATGCGGAAATGCACACGCACACGCACACACACGCACACACACACACACACACGCACGCACACACACACACACACCTTTAACTTTAAGCAGAGGGAGACACGACAGAGTCATCTCTGTGAGATTCAAATAACATTTCAGATTAAGGGAAACAGAGTGATGGTAAACGCTGTCATCTGTGATAGAAATACACAGCAATATGAGCACTAATTAAGCAGTACATTGATTACACACACACACACACACACACACACACACACACACACACACACACACACACACACGCACGCAGGGGCGGCTGAGGTTTTTAAATTACAGCGTATATTCCAGGCACTTCTTTTTCGTTTTCTGCACACAAGAGCATTGAAGGAAAAACTGAACCGGATCAAACTCAGCTGAACTTGAACTAAAAGCTCTAGGTCAACAGAGAATTTTGACTTAAACAATGGGACGATATAATTGGAATAAGAAAAGCATTAGCTTCCTTATATTCTGACACCTCCGATCACCCACTGCCAAATTTCTTCTTCACTAGGCTTTTTTTTTTGTAAGTTTTACTATGAGAGGAGCTAACCAGGGTCAGTCCAAATATGATTTAACACCAGCAGCGGTTCAGTGAATTAATATTGTGTACATTTTCTGTCTCTGTAGGGGTTTTGATCTTTTGGACAATGCCAAGTTAGATATTTCCACCAGTTTCCAGTGGAGCTGTTAGTGATGCTTGCAGATAATAAAGATGAAGTAAACTCATGAAACATTAGAACATCTTCCAAAAAACACCAAATCAAACCAAAACAAAACAACAACAACAACAAAAAAAAAAACCCACTGAAGGTTTATGATATTTTCTATTGAATTAAACTGAGTAAATAATGAAAATGCAAAATATGCTACATTGGCTTGCAAAAGTATTTGGCCCCCTTGAACTTTCCCACATTTTGTCACATTACAGCCACAAACATGAATCAATTGTATTGGAATTCCACGTGAAAGACCAACACAAAGTGGTGTACACGTGAGAAGTGGAACGAAAATCATACATGATTCCAAACATTTTTTACAAATAAATAACTGCAAAGTGGGGTGTGCGTAATTATTCAGCCCCCTGAGTCAATACTTTGTAGAACCACCTTTTGCTGCAATTACAGCTGCCAGTCTTTTAGGGTATGTCTCTACCAGCTTTGCACATCCAGAGACTGAAATCCTTGCCCATTCTTCTTTGCAAAACAGCTCCAGCTCAGTCAGATTAGATGGACAGTGTTTGTGAACAGCAGTTTTCAGATCTTCTCGATTGGATTTGGATCTGGACTTTGACTGGGCCATTCTAACACATGGATGTGTTTTGTTTTAAACCACTCCATTGGTGCCCTGGCTTTATGTTTAGGGTCGTCGTCCTGCTGGAAGGTGAACCTCCGCCCCAGTCTCAAGTCTTCTGCAGACTCCAAGAGGTTTTCTTCCAAGATTGCCCTGTATTTGGCTCCACCCATCTTCCCATCAACTCTGACCAGCTTCCCTGTCCCTGCTGAAGAGAAGCACCCCAGAGCATGATGCTGCCACCACCATATCTGACAGTGGGGATAGTGTGTTCAGAGTGATGTGCAGAGTTAGTTTCCTGCCACACATAGCTT